ATTTATCAAAATGAGCAGAAAAAGGTCAATCGCTAGCATACTTGATGATGAAGAAAATGACTCAAGTCAATCTTCTAAACCGGCTTCTTATAGAAGAAACAGATTGATTACTAGTTTAATTGATGAAGAAATATCTTCTACTTCTAGAACATCATCATCGTATAATATAATAACAAGGTATTAATATTCATAAAGCTTAATTTCAGATGCATTTCATCAACTCAAAATTCAGAAAGAAACGGGAGAGTCTTTAATAACATTAACTAGACTAATTATTAACATAAATCAGAAGATGATAAATATCAGGAGGATTCTGATTCTATATTTGTATCTCGAAAATGTGTAAATAGGTACAAAATCAACCAAAATCTAACATAAATCCTTATGATGACAATTCTGAACAAAGTGTTAATGAGTTTTCTGAATCTTCTGAATATACCACCAAAGAAGATAATATTTCAGATAGTAGTAGTAATAGAAATGAATCAGATGATGGAGAATTAGGTGATAATGAAGATTACAAAACATTTGAGAATTATTTACCACCCGATTATGAGTCATTTCAGGACCCACCAGATCTAGGATCAACAATTGATAACTAAATTTTATGGATTTTACTCTAGATTATAACATTTTAGACAAGATTCAATATAACGAAGATAGCAACTGAGGCTTTGATAAAATTTATGAAATTAGTCTTGACAGAAATCGGTGGAGATGATTTTAGAGACTTTCCAGATTCAATGTACTTAACAAGAAAAGAATTTAGATTAAAAAATCATTTTCATAGCTTCGTTACTTGTCTGAAATGTCATAAGCTATATAAAAAACAGGAAGTGATAATTTTAAACAAAAATATTTAAGTGTCGATATGTAGAATTTCCTAATTTGTCACTCCATAAATCACGACTTTGCAATACAACTATATCTCAAACCATCGGTGTTTCGGCAAATCGAGTAGTAATTTGACTTAATTTAATATTTCCATTTTCTGAAATCAGATAATAACTCGCTTTTATATATCGTCAGCCTTATTTTGAAAGTTATTTGAGACAATGAGCAAATCGTCAGAATTATGATAATATTAGGACTGATATATATGATGGTCAAGTATAGCAGCCATTGAAAGAATCTTCTAAAGAAAATTCGCAAAATTTTTTTAGAGATAAAGTGACTGATTTTCACCTTAGATTAATGTTGAATTTGGATTAGTTCCAGCTTTTTGAAGGCATTGTATATAGTATTAGTGTTATTTATGCTGTTATATGCAATTTGCTACATGATATCTGATTCAAACGTGAAAAACTACTGATTATTGGCCTCTTACCTAGGTCAAGTGAAATAAGTTTACACAAAATAAATCATTATTTAACACCGATCGTTAATGAATTGAAATCTCTTTAAGATAGAATAACTATAGATAAAACATACGAATTTCAAAAAGGAAGAACCATTTATGCAGCTCTAATTCTTATTTCATGTGATATACCAGCCGTTAGAAAAATATGTGGTCATGTTTCAGCTTTAGTATCATGTCATAGGTGTGAGAAGAAAGCAAATTATGAAAATCAGCAGCATAATTTTGCTAGTATAGATGATTTTGATGATATGTTCTTCATATGAAATCCAACTAAACATCATCAGAATGCTTTAGAATAGAGATATTGCAATTCTGATGCTTCACAAAAGTGATTTGTAAAACAAACTGGTGTAAGATGGTCTGAATTATTGCAAATACCATATTTTGATCCTATCTAATATATTGCTTATTTTTAGAAATTACACAATAGATGGTAAAATGAATTTGGATTGATAGAGGAATTTTAACATCAAATACCCTGAAAAAAATTCAGAAAAAAATGAATGAGTTTCAGATTCTATCTGATTTGGATTGAATTCTAGGTAAAATTCATGAAGGAGAAGGATTTTCTAATTTCACAGCAGATCAATGGTGAATCTTTTTTACTGTTTATACCACTGTATCACTTTGAGAACATTTTCTGGTTATAGATAAAAGATTCTTACACATTTTGTGAGAATTTGCTTAATTTTAGTTAGCTGAATTATAGAATCAGATCTTGTTTTAGAAGCTCATCGAAGATTAATTGAAATAGCAAAGCTGATAAAAGTTAATCATGGTCGTAATAAAATTACGCTGAACATTTATTTATCTTTTCATTTATATAATTGCTTATTTGAATATGAGCCATTGTATATATTCTGATGTTTTCTTTCGAACGCATGAATGGAATATTAGGTAATTCATCATTATAAAAATTTTCTGATTGAATATATTTATTAATTTTTAAATTTATAATTCTTAGAAAAATCGAATCTGAACTTATATGTTGATTGATGTTTGATGGTCAAATTGACAATATCATAAATTCTGGTATTGAGATGAAAGGACTTGATTTTTTGGACGATCGGCCTTCTATTGGCTCTCTTTCGGTTACTGACCAATTTTCATCAGATGAAATATACCGATTTTGAATGAATTCCTGAAATATTAAAGAATCGCATATTTTTGGTAATGAAAATTTTTCAGGAAAATTTTTAAGCCATTATCTGATAATATAATCATTTCAAATGAAATGCTGAATTTAATTATTAAATACTATTTAGCAACTTATGAAAATCTCGAATTTCAGAAACTATTCAGCGATGATTCAGAAAATGCTATAATAATTCAGTTCAAAATGAATCAGTTTGAAAGATGTTGAATCAGTTCTAAAATCTTTGGTTCAACAATGTTCTTATGACATGAGAAAAGTTCATACATTTTGGCCAAATTTATTACGAATGATGATGTGATTGATTGTTATTCAGGTTAAGTTCAATACTATTTTACTCATACAGTCTATTTACCATATGAACTGACTGAACATTTTCTAGCATATGTTCACTGGTATCAACCTGCAGGTTTTCAAATGTTCGATATCATTTTAATGTTAAAGAAATATGTAATGTTGAACTATAGGATACTGATTTTTACCCTGAAAGTCATGATTGCATAATACCAGTACATCATATTTTAGGACATTTTGTATCAGTGAACTATATGATTTCAACTCAGCAAAATGCAAAAGAATATTTGGCCATCAATCCGTAATAGAAAATACCAATTATGAAATTATGACATCTTATTTCCTTCTAAATTGTTATTTTCAACATAAATAATCTATTAAAATTGCTTTCCGAATTGTCATTTTTCACATAATTTTTGAAAGTTTTATTAGCCTAAAAAATCCTTCTGAATTGTTATTTTTGACATAAAATAAACTATAAAATTGCTTTCTGATTTTATAAATATACAAATCGTCCATAAATCAGATGGGTTGATTTAGGTTGATTTTTAGCTATTGATGATTATATCCAATTAACTGACGATTGATGAACAATTTATCACATGTCTGATTTTTTTGATTTTGATCAGTGTTTGTAGTTGAAGTATTGAGCTGGTTGAAACCTTTGATAAAGGTTTTGCATATTTCGGTCAGATGAAGCTTTTCTTCTTCGTAGGCAATCGTTAGCCTTGTGATTTGGAAAGAGCAAATTACATAAACTTTGATCTTTAGATTGGTCCATATCATGTGTTTATCATCAATGATAAGATGATCATTAGAAATTGCAGCTTCAAAATTATCTGCTGAAACAAAGTAAAAAAAAGCATGTTAAAGGTTTTGGTAGTTTGATCTAGCTTTAAGAATTACCCAAGCAGTAGCCTCAACCATCTTTCCTATTTCTTCAAGTTGTTTGCCAGTCATAAATCTGGAAAGGCTGGCGAGTTTTGTTAAAAATTTAGAATGTGCCAAAATGTCTGCATGAGATTAGTCGCACATATAAACTCTGATCATATCATTGAGTATGAAGAGACCATAGTAGTCTTTCAATTCCTTGAAGCTTGCGTCTTCCAAGAAGGTAATAGTGGCTTATTGCCACATATTCTTTGTTTCTATATTGAAATGGACGATCTTATCAAATTTGGCAAATATTGTCTTGATACAGTGCTTCGTAGAATCCAGGGGGATTTCAGTGATCTTGATTAACCTTGCTAGGATATAAAGTTATGTTTGTATAATATCAAGGGATAAAATGTGCAGTTTTCTAAATTTGGCAATGGAACTGAACACATATGATCACGTTCTTCTTGATTGCAAAAGGAAATTTAATTATGCGTTGCAATTGGTCAGTTAGATGTTTAGCCAAGTTCGCCTTGTAAACGAATCATATGTGTCAAAGAATAAGTTGACAACAAACGAGACCTTTTACTGCGACGATGTTTCAGAAAATTCTTTGAGGGAAAAAAATCCATAAAAGGAAGGTTTTGGTCTATTAAAAGTTTGGACTGAAGTCATGCCTTTATCTAAAAAGTTCTCTGACGCGTCACAACTTACATCAATGTTAAGAATAGTGGTAGTGTTATCTGGAATCACTTTTAAAGTATCTTTTTCTTTGCCTTTTTTGAAGGCGAAAGGTCAACTTCTATAGTCACAACTAATTCTGGAATCTCAGAAGTGTTTTGTGTCAATGAAATATTCACAGTTTGGGTTGTATTTTGTTTTTTTATTTTTGTTGGTTGTTAAAGATAAAGACAAACATCCTCGTTGTTTGTTTTTTTACTCTCTGTTATTTTAGGTTATTTTGGTTTTGGGTTAAAAAGAAGAGAGTTTTCAAATACACATATTATTTTTTTTAAGTGCGGTAATTTCGCAAAATCTTTATTGATAATATAAATTATAAAAAATTACATAAAATAGAAGTTACGAAAATCTCTATCTAAAATAATAAAAAATACTATCCTAAATCAAAACTGACCTTGCATTTTTCCAGAATCAAATATAAAAAAAAAATTTTACATGATTACCTTCCAGTAAACTGACCAGAGAAAGGAAAGGGCTTGGTTTCTACTGCACCAAAAATTTGACCAATGTGATTCTAAACAAATCATTTTAGAAATTAAATCTGTGAAAGAAAAGTTAAGAAATGATGAATGGAATTGATAACCAGTCGCGTCTGTATGTAAACATTTAAATACATCTGTAATATCATGAGATTTTTCAAATTTTTTGAAAGCTAAACATCTATCCAGCCATATAGTATGTGTTTGTGAAAAGATAAAATGCATAAAATCTAAAATCACTGCAAAGTGGTTTTCTTAGAAGCAAAACGAAAGTAAACCAAATTGTAAAGATTAGCAAAAATGAGACCTTAATCAAGTTTATAAATGTGAATGTGTTTGAAGTTGATAGAGACCATACATCTAAGAGATCCACTGTCTGAGGGTTACTATCAAGTTGAAGATTTTCTATTAAATAAATTTTTGCTTTATTGATGATTTTACCATTTCAAAAGATCTATATGAATAAATTCAGATGTGATTGAAATCTTCTTGGTATGACTGGCAAAGAAAATAAAGCCAAGAGTTATCAAATATTAAGGGGTGTTGTTTATGGAGGACTACTATTGTAGAAAGCATTTCAAGAAGTCGTTGGAGTTTCTGTTTCTTGATAGTGAACATTTCAAATGATGTAGTAGAAGAAGCTGTATTATCAGAAATGTAAAATGCAGTTGCAGCCCAGTTAATCTCTAGGTTACAATATTTACTATTGACATCGAGATTTAAAAAAGAAACTAAGTGTGAGAAACAGTAATGTTTTTGATTAATTG